CACAGGTTCTCAAATAGGAGCTCTGATAACTGACACCTGAAGAACTGTGCATCTTATGCGGGGATAAATTTTTTTTCAAAATTCTCAACAAAAAAATCTAAAATGCGCGTCTAACTCGACCACATATGCTTATTTAGTAAATTAAGTACTGCATACACTTTTGTCCTCATTGAGTAATACACGTACTGTACTTAAATATCATGATGTAAGAAAATGAGCATCATGATACAGAACGGCCATTATATTTTTAAATTTATAAAAAAAAAACTTTGAACGGATCCCTTCCAGAAGTGGTTGATATGCCAATCAGATTTTTTATCCTTTACACGCTAATTGTATTCATTGCGTTTCGAATCAGTTCATAATAATCCGTCGTGACATTTTTTTTTCTCTGGCGTCGATTTATCCTGACGCTATCTATCTTAAGATGCGGCATTATTTTCAAGGCGCTGCGAGAAATCGCATCGTTTCACCGAGGTGAACCAGCTTCTTTCGCAAATTGAATTGATCATCGCAACTTCAAGTTCAGTTTCTGCTCTCTGGTCGCGGCGATTTCTCCTTGGGGGTTAATTCATCCCGGCGTTATCTTTCCTTCCGACTATTTTTTTTTTCACAGCGCCATCCGGTCGGCGGGAAATCGCATCGTTCCCGAGGTGAACCAGCTGGTTTTTCCCGAACTGCCAAGACCTCTTTTTTTCCCCCATTTCCTTCCTCAGTTGCGGATTTTTCCCTCAAGGAAGGAAGTAACCAGGAAAAGAACTGGCTCTCTGTAAGAGGGACCTCAACCAAACGTTTCGCGACGTGATGAGTCACGGATGCGGAATGCTAAAGCTGGCAGTTGAGGGGAAAAAAAACGGAAAAACGGATACCCGAACTGGAACCCGTGAGGACCCGGAGAGAGAGAGAGAGAGGGACACAGTCAATGTGACAAGATCGCCGGAAAATACAGTATAACTATGGCTCAGCGAAATGTATCCTGTCGCTTGCGAAGTGGACAGAAGGAAAAAAATATGGAAAATGGAACGTGGGCCTTCAGGTAGGCGACATAGCGTGGAGTATACTGAGTTTCGAAGGACAGTTGGATCAAGTGTGCCTGCTTGGGATAGGATCCTGTATCAAGAAAACAGGGGAAATACTATTCCATTAGATTTTGGTGATATTTTTCTTGCCTTGGACTCTGATGATCTGTGTTTGAAGGTGCAAGGACATCACTTCAACCCTTCGTCGGCAGAGCCAGGATTTTTGTTTTTGCAAACATTGTATCCCGGACACTTTATGATTTTACAGGGAGTTGAACACAGATGAAATCTATAGATATTTGTTTGTTTTTTTCTATCCGCATCGAAAAATTTTTGGCAAGCAACAAAGAAAGCTCTCCCACGGCTGCCTTTTTTGAACCTGCAGCCACAGGCCCAACTTAAATATAAAAAAAAATATGTATCAGCTGTTATTCTGAAGTAGAACACAAACAATTTCTAAATACTGCACTGTACTGTATTGTATTGAGACATTTTCAAAATTTTGAAAATGCTTGAATTTGGAATTGGCCAGATGTTTGGGACCCAAAGTAATTCTTTCTTCAAATTTCATACCCTAGGTTTGCTGAAAATATCCTCTTGGATTTTCAAGCACACCTCAACCTCCAATCATCTCTCTTTGGTCGGATTTCTTTGCCACTGATCTAAGGATATGTTGGCTTTAAAAGTCATCATAATTAATAATTAACACTCAAACATTATGTTGATTAAATGTCTTTGAGGGGATTTGGGTTGGGTGGGGAAGGGGTTTGGATGTGGAAATCTTGATTGTACCTTGTGAACGCTGAAATGCAGCAAATGAAGTGTTCTGTTCATTCATTCATTCATTCATGTTGATAATTTTATCACTCAAAAGCTTCCAACTCAAAAGTGTCCATGACAATTTATCAATTTCATATTGAAAAAAGACTACTCAATAGCTAGCACTAGTTTGTTTATTGGGGATTGATACCAATTTCCTTTTTTGAACTATCAGATTTAGGAGAATCAAACACTTTGAAGTTAGATTACTAGAACTTATGGAGTTTTCGATGCATATACAGTAACATAGTTCTTGAAACTTGCAGTTAATGGAAAATCTGCCCCATGTAAATAAATGTCATAATTTCAAGCACACTACAGTACAGTATTTGCAATAATCTGATAGGGTCAGACATTTCCCATTTATCTGTATACAATATGTAAAGAAGTTAAAATATTGCGAACCATTTAACCACTCTGATTCCTATTCACTAGCTCCATCATCATTTCGAAAGCATCATGAATTACGTCCCTTTCGCCTTTTCGGAAGTTTGTTGCATTGCAAGCTATTCAGGACATTGTCACTGCTTGGTGCACCTTTGAACATGCAAGAATGAGACTTCCTTTGCCTTATACATTTTATTGATGTTGCAAAGAAAAATAGCGATTTTGAAATACAAGTACAATTCCCACCAAGACATATCTTCTCAGCGAAAACACCTTGGAAAGTCTAAGCAAATTACAGTACAGTACATTTAAATACAGAGCACATCTTTGTGTGAAGCATTCGAAAAAAAAAAGTAAACGAGCAGAGAAATATTCCAGCATCGCAAATAAATCGCTCGCATGTTCGGGGCGCGATGTACAAAATTCACAACCGGCTGATGCTCAGACAAAAACACGCAGAAAAATAAATAAATAAATAAATGTAAGTTCTCGTTTAATGGCCAATGTCCTACAAAGAAAAGTGTACACGGTGACTAAAATACCCTCATAACGAGCTCCTTCAGCAGGCTCGCAATACAAGAGAGATGGACAAAACTTGAGCAGAGGAACTTTCAGCTGCTGCTGCTGCTGAGAATCGTAAAAACCGGTTTCCGCGGCATCACCGTATGCCGAACAAGCAGAGCCAAGAGCCCCCGGGACGGGAATCCGTGTTGATGTCCAAGAATCGCACCGCGCATTCCAGCACTTGATGGGCCCACCATCGACAATTTTACATCGAGCCTCTTTCTTTTTTATTCTCATCAACTGCAGGATACTTTCGTTTTGGCAAGTTTTCTTCCTTCTCGAATGGCTTCCTTCGTTGCCTATTCCATCGACTTTTTTTTTTTTTTAACTACAGTCGAACCTCTTCAAGTCACACTTGAAGAGACCAATACAACAAATTCGAATTAGGGAGGGTTTTCAGTTGAAAAAAAATTTTGTGTCTTCGGGAAGAAATTCGTAATTGTATTTTAAAATCTGGTTAGAGTATACAGGTTTTCCAAGTACTGTACCTGCAGAATACTTTTGTTTCGGCAGCAAGTTGTCTTCTTTTTGAATAGCTTCATTCATTCCATATTCCCTCCATTTTTCCAATAACAATAGTCAAACCTCTCCAAGTCATACTTGAAGGGACCAATAAAACAAATTCGAGATATAAGGAGGTTTTCAGTTGAAAAAAAAAACTATTTATGTGTTATAGGCACGACATAATTTCAAGAAATTTTAATTGTATTTTAAAATCTGGTTGAAGTTCAAAGGTTTTCCCAGATAATCAATTGTCTTCAATGTGTAGACTAATATAAATGACTGAGTACCGATGGACTCCGTCTACAACAATATTCAGAGGACCAAATAAAATTCAGACAAAATTTGGTTGCAGGGAACCTCCCATGGGATGCAAAGACAACTCCTGGGGTACAAAGGAATCTTATACAGTACATTAAAAATATAACTTGATGTGTTTTGGAAAAAGACTAATTTGGCCAAACTAATTTGGCCTGCCTCCAAGTTCAGCATCCTGTCAAGAAAAACAATCCAATGCTTTTTGCACTCCTCGTTCAAAAAAAAGAGGATGAAACATACAAGATAAAATTGAGTTTTAAAAAAATAGGGGGAAATGCAACCGTCCCCTTTGGGAAACATGCCGCCATCAACGGGGGGCAAAGGCCGTGAAAACGGGACGGATAGTTGCTGCTCTCTTTGAGCTGGATTTAAGGACAAATTGATTGGCAGCGCCGGCTTAAATGCGCCCATTCCTCGTCATTTCTCCGTTTCTTTTTATTTTTTCTTTCTAAACCTTTAATTACTCGATGCATTCAAATCTCTTTTTTCTTCGTTTTTCTAGGTGATTCTGTTTCTTCTTCCTCGATTCTCGGCACCCGCACTGACCTTTCTTCCGCTGGAATCCGCATCTTACTCTCCCTATTCCTGTCCCATTATTGCTTCTTACAAGCTTTTGTTTCACTCGAGGACTAGCGTCGTCGTTCCGCGAACGAATGAATGGAATCGAAAGTCGCCGAGTTTGGCCCCCAGAATCTAGTTCAGCAATTTTTTTTAACTACTGTATAACTACAGTAAATGAAAGTATCATTACTTGAACTACCGAGCGTGGGGAAGACTTCGAGTCAAATGTAGTAAAAAAAATTTGCCCGCGAACTTAATCCCAATTTTTTGACAAAGACGATCGCAGTCGAAACCAGTCTATGATCCTTAATGTCCTTAAAAAAAACAAATATCTGATCCAAAAATAAGCTTCCCTAGAATCCCAGATTCAGGCTTCGTGATTTTTGCGTCCTTCACGAAGTACTACACTGTGAAACAATGTTTGCGGGATTATTTCCGGGGTATAACATTCTGCGGAACCCAATGAATACCGTCTCTCGGTCGTATATTACATGGTTCCACACAAACTGAAAAATTATTTTAAAGAGCAATGATAACCTCATCAGGTACAACAATATACAGTAATTCAGACTTCGTTCGTTTTGAAAGTTTCTCGAAAAAAAAATCACCTCCACCAGAATATCTCTCATACAGCAATAATCCTACGATGATATGTTGACTGAAATGAGGTCTTGAACAGCTTCGATTCTTATTTATTACGGTGACCATTTATTATGCCCTCGGGGGAAATGATGGAAACATCCGGCGTTTCCTCATTTGCGAACTCTGTCCCGGAAAGTACTCCTACACAGGATTTTTGGCGACGAATTGTGCAACGGACTGCACCCAAGATCACTCCAACGTTCGCATCAGTTTCGCACGACTTCTATCCGGCGTTTCCTCATTTGCGAACTCTGTCCCGGAAAGTACTCCTACACAGGATTTTTGGCGACGAATTGTGCAACGGACTGCACCCAAGATCACTCCAACGTTCGCATCAGTTTCGCACGACTTCGATCAACAAAGACATGCATGTTGGCGGGGGAACACATTAAATTTGTTCCACTTGGTTCTCATCATGCGGGTGTTTTCATTCCGTCACGATGGTCGTAAAAACGAAATAACATAACAAAAGTATTCGCCAAAAATGCAGGTACTGTTCTGTACATTATAGCTAGAGTTTGGGAGTACACAAAATTCTGAGGATTTGGCAAATGATCAGGAGGAAATCCATATTTTACTCTAAACAGATGTCGCTGCAAATCAAGGTGAAGGCCACAAAACTGGAAAAAAAATGGACAATATAAATCAAGGAATGAATTTGGTAGAGCTAAAAATAAACGCATGAATTCAAGCCTTGAGTATTGAACTGTTTTTTTCTTCAACAGTGCTATTTTTGGCAAATATAAAGTTCTTCGTCCCGTCAGAGCGGGGTTAAACCTGGTGGCTTTGGTCAATTGGAAAGGTCGATCTTAGTGTGGTCTAACGGTGGTGAATGTATCAATCTTCCAACTTACCGAGGTTCTACGTTTGCAAAGGCTCAGTAGATGAACTATCTCGATCCAGCAGTTTTTTTTCCTTTTCAAATTATACCCCGTCTTCAACATCCTCAGCACAAAGAAAACTAAATTGTCTCGCTCAGTCCCACAAATTTAATATTACCCATTGAATTGGAAAGAAAATGCATTTTACTGGTACAAGGGAAAAATTGTGCGAAGAATTTCTGGAACATTTTCAGCCCAAGATTTGACCGAATTTTTCTAGGGAAATATACGGCCAATGAAAATTCCAAAACTGAGCTGGGTGTCTTTACATATATACAGTATACACAACTCGCTGGATCTCACCCAGCAGTGATTCTTCCCAACATAATTGTTTTCATTATCAGCATCATCACCAGCACTAGAAAAAAAACAAAAATTTCCCGCTCGCAGTCCCACCAATGTCAAGATACCAAAAAGTCCCATTGCCAGTCGCATTGGATCAAGAAGACATTAAAAAAAAAAAAAGACAGAAAAACGCGGCCTCGCTCTGGGAAGGTCGGTTGGTTGGTCTGTCTGTCTCGCGCGCGCGCGTTTCACAGCAGAGAGAAACAGGCAAAAAGCGAACTCAACTCACCCGGGGCTTGGGAAGATGCACGAACAACATTTGGAACTCGTGTAGCAGGTCAGAGAGAGCGAAAAAGTAGCAGCAGTTAAAATAGGTTTAGAAGAGGTAGTTGTTGAACTCGAAGAGCGCGTTTTTCAGGGAGACTTCCGAGTTGCAAAAAAACAACGAAAATAAATCAGGAAAGGAGAGGGAATTTTACCGAATTGACTCGAGTACACCGTGTACCACCAAGTGCACCTTAAGTGTTTCCACCGAAAAAAATCAGCTAAAAAAGTTGGGCGCGCTTCATACCCGGAAATAACAAATTCGTCCTTGGAATTCTTCAACTTTGTTTTCAAAAAATTAAACGAAGAATTTTGATACTATAGCTTCACGAACCACAGCACTGTATTGTGTGAATAAAAACTCCCCGTTGATCCGAAACTCAGGATTGTCATCTAAGATGAAGGTTTAAATCACTACGAAAGGTTGACCCTCAAAAATGGGTGCGCCTAAACGCGGGGATATAATTTTTGCCAAAATTTCTCGGGGGAAAAATCGAGGTGCTCGTGGTACTCGATTAAAATTTCGATAATGAAGAGAAATATTTACAAATCCCAGGGCTTTTCAACTGGTGGTATTTTCGATTTCAACAGTAAATAACACACGCAGTCTTGTCAGGTACAGTATTTATAATTCGAGATTTTTTAGAAAGAAAGGGAAAATTTTATAGGACGGAATAAGAGGAAGAGAAAACTGAAAAGCTTGGGACATCGACTCTGAGTAAGGACCCAGAAGTACTGTACTGTACCAGTTAACAAGAATCTTAATAAAAGAATGAAAAACTACTTCCCTGCAACACAGTGGGTTCCCGCATAATATATGCAACTAATGGTTCCTGGATGATGTGTTCTTTTCCACAGGAATTTTTTTTGACGCAAAACGCAAGTTCCCTTCATGTGGCATTTTCAATTATTTTATTTGTTCCAGACGCTCACCGAAAAGCCTTAATCAACCATGAAAACCGTTTTATTTTCCCCATAGTTTATTGCATAAAATTTTGGATTTAAAATGAATAGCAAAAAATTTAGTAATCCTAATGAATCTGCTCTGACCCTTCCGAATTTTACAACACTTTTTCGGATAATATTCGGTGCTTCTCCGTTTTCATGGCATATATGCAGGAAAGAAAGAATGAAAGGAGTAAAAAAATGTAAGGCTTCAAAATCAGTGTTTGAACATCTTTAGATTTGTAAAAGCCAAAATTTTTAGAGTAGAGATACAATGCGGTTATTTCAGTCACTTTTTCCCAGAAAACTGCCCTTATGCAAATTTTTCATTTCCCGGGTCTTTCGTCATGCGGGGACTCAATGTGCCTAATTTAATCAAAATAGAGATAGATATGATATCAAGGTATTCGTACACTATCTCGTCTATGAAAAAAAAGCGCTTCGATCACGAAAAAGGCTGAAAATCTCGGATGATGGTCAAAATACCAAGCATTTCCTCGAACTCACGAAATAATAGCCAGCGAAGTCCTCGTCCAATGGAACGTGCTTCACCTACATCATGTCGGAATTAAGAAAAAAGAAAGTGTGCTCATCACAATACGACGATGAGTTTTCATCAACACAGTAAACCATTAAAAAAGCAAGAAACACTACGACTCCTCAACAACAACAAAAAACGACAGACTGCTTAATTTAAAAAAATTAAATCTTTTTGCATTTCAGGTTCAAGCACCAAGTGTGTAAAATATCAAATGTCCTCCACTCAAGAGCCAACATCGGCAAAATGCTTATCTTCCATTGACCATTGCCAGTTCAAGGTTTTATGTTTTAAATGACACAATAAGTCAAATGTTGCAGTGAAGTACTTGAGTATACAGCTGCCAGGAAAGTTCGGCCGTTTTTCAGAAGCCGTTTATTTTCAACTTTGGAAATTGCATTACCTTAATGCGTGTTTGCCACAAATCAAGTAAACTTCGTATAGCATTACAGGATAGGTCTTTCAAAAGTGATAATAACTTATCCACTATCGTTTGGTAACAAATATATTTCTAAATCAATTTTCCAGCAGTGTCCAAAGAAAACAAATAATCAACGCGATCCTCATTTGAAGCATAAATGTATCTGCCAACTTTACAGAATAACCCACCGAATAATTTCTTCAAAGGAGAGAAACCCCATATATTGTTTGAATATCTCACAAACGCAGAGAGATCTAACAAGTTCATGAGATTATGTACCGTACTTTCCCTCAAAATGGAAATAAGGCACCTACTGCGATTATGAACTATCGACTCACTATAGTACTTAACACACTCATTTCTGAACCAATTTTCTAAAACATCTAGAATGCCCACAAGAAAATTGTACAGGCGAAGAAAAAAATAAATAAAAGAAAGAAAAACAGCATAAGAATACAGTACCTGAATAGGGCCGATAGGCGGCAAGATCCTGATGGCATACTGAAACTGCTGCCGGATTCTGCGCAATTCCTCAGTGCGTTCTGCGAAGTGATGGTCTTTTTGCGGCAAACAACAATCGTATTCCTGAACAATGTACGTTTTGTTGGCCTTGATCCATCGGATAAACGGAAACACCTTCGTCGTCGTCAGGTCCTTGGATCCCGGAGGCAACGACTCCACGACCTTGGAATTTTAAGGAATATTGAACGACGCATTCTTAAGTTCTCGTCACCAATCATTATAGTATTTTGAGAAATCCAGAGCTCATTTGTAAAGAGGGTAGACCGCGTTTTCACGTGGACTTTAATTTCGCCCCAAAATACTTTTAATTTACGCATCTGGAAATTATATGTTCAAGTGACACACATAATCGGATTTATTTCTAATTTCTTTGACCATCGTGACGAAGTACTTCTAGAGTAAATTGAGTAAGGGGAGTCTCAAGGTAGTGAGTACTGTACAGTTATTTCAGTGAAACAATGCAACAATCATAATTCATTCAAGCATCATCTTTACGGTATAATTTCTTCATTGTATGAACCAAATTCACTTAAAAAAACATTTTCTTGTTTCTGTAGGTGTGATCGATCTAAAAAAATAGATAGACCAGAAAAGTTTACCTTTAATATGGATGAATAATAAATTAATAATACCCCTACATATGGTAACACAAAATTGTTGACCGGAGGGAAATAATTTTATAGGTCAGATTGTTGTAGATGAGAGTCTTACCCGCACAGCGAAAAAAATTTTCTGGATGAAAGATTGTTTGTATAGTACCAAACTACCAGGGTAAAAAATTGCATCACAACGTTTGTTCTACAGAATGTTTTTAATGCAAGGTGCTTATACTACAGAAGGTACGCACTACAATAGGGTTGGGCAAAAACAACATTGGCATGATGAAAAATACACAGAACATTTTTCTGCTTCAATGAAGCAAGCATTCAAAACCATCTTCAATTTCTCAACAAAAAAATTGAAATGCAGTACAGTAATATACTGTCACGATGAATTTCATTTTCATGTTTTTTCTTGATCCCACTAGTTTCTTGATAGGAAAAAAGATTATACAGACTGTGTCAACTCTCCACAAAAAAATTCAAGAGACCAGAAAATATTTCTGATACACAGAAAATCCCATTATATACAGTATTTGACAAGATTGTAGTTGGAAGAGTCCACATGAAAATTTCTCCTAATTTTCACCAATAATCTCTTTACAGCGTAATGGCTTTTTTGCCTTGATCATATGTGCATATACTGTATGGGCCGTAAGAATTTCCACTATAATTGGCAAAAAAGGGAAAATATAAAGATTGTGCATTATTTAAAGCCGTAAAAAATAGATATGCTACTCTTCCTGTTCAAAAGGTGTCGAGAAAAATTGCAGAATAACTCTTCCACCTTTGTTATTCTCATAGTATAAACTAATGCAGTTTACAGGAATAAGTCTTTGTACATAACAGCCCTATAAAAATCTAGGCTTCAAAAATTAATCCCAGTCCCATAAATAGATGCTCTTTCTTATTTGACGCTTAATTATGGGAGAAAACGATTAAAATTAGAGGAATTTGCCACCGAAAAATATCTCTAGATAATCGCGGGCATTCCAATACCATCTGTTCACCGTAGGAGGAAAAATCGAACCTAATGATCTCAACATACAGTACAGTATTTATTGATCGCGCAGCTTGGGAGCGACATCTAGGAATACAATTTTGCGATCCAGCCCCACTGACGGGAATCATATCGCGAGCGTCGCAGCGAATCTTTCTCGCTCTTTCTCCCCCTTTTTTGTTGTAATCTTCCTGTCCAGTCAGTCAGTTTGTAAGACCCAGAATTATTCAACGGCATCTTTTTCCGGAATCGCATGCAGCAGCGATTTGCATCAGAGGTGACACAGCAGAGAGATTCACGATACAAAAGCTGGGGGAAAAAGGGGGACAAACCATTGTTTATTATTCGGAATGCCGGCGAAGTGCGGAGTTCCCAAGTTGGCGCTGGCAGACTGTGAATGACCCCTTTAACGCAGTACTGGGGAATTGCAGCCCATTGTCTGGGTTTCCCTGGCGAGACGCTCATTCCGGCATATTTTTACGGCCTTTTGGGACTTTATCGTCTCCGACACGGCGAAAGACAGACACACACACACTTTGATTTGGGGCAAGTACGTAACGTAAGTTCATATTTTTAGTGTTTTTTTGGCGAGAACATAAAGTATCTGCATGTTCCCCGAGGACAAGACAGCAAGGGCAATATAGTCTTTCAACAATGGACTCCGTAACGACTTTGTTCAAAGACGTTTATCTGAACAAGGACTGCATAATTTATCTACAACGTATGCCGTACGTAGTCTTCAATTCGTGAGAATGGATCATTGATTTATCGACGAATAAAGCAACCCCAACATGGGCTCAATCATAATGAGTCAATAGCGCGCAGAACATTATTGAAACGGTGGATGCAGAAATCACTGAGAAGAATTTTGTGCAACATATTACATACCATAATAGAAGTTCTGCGGATGATTTCGAAATCTTTAAAAATATGGAACGAAGTAAATAACTCGTTGAAAATTGAAAAGACACCAGAAATGGGAACATTCTTCCGCCAGAACTACATCACGAAGAGGGAATCCCTATTTATAATCCATCAAACCAGCCTTCGCTCTATTCGAAAAGATAATATGATTCTAGATTCCTGTTCTCGCCAATTTGTATCCTCGGGTATATGAATAATAAGAAAAAAATCTTCATTAAATTGCACGTCTCCGGAAATTAATTCTCCAGAGGTTCATTGCTAAACCAAGCATGAATAGCATAGGGTTCTCAAAATTTAAATAACCAACATTGGTTTAATTTTCAAGTACTAATTATTTTCCAAAAAATGCCATTCATCATTCCGACGAGATGAACATGACGAACGATTGAAATAACGAACCAGCAAGTATTTCAGGAAGAATTCATAGCAGGAAAACGTGCATTTGTTCAATTTGTGTGGCTTCTTGCATGAATAGTCTATCACACAAGGCTTTTTCCTTCGTTTCAGGATTGTACCACTTTCAAGACATGCTCGCAATGCTTGTGCATTACAGTACTTCCAAGATAAGAGTATTATAACAACGGTTTCAATTCCAGTTCTTGAGGCACTACAGATTGTACATTATCCAGAAAATACAATTGAATTTCAGACATCAACTGACCGGCATTTCAGAGGTGTTTTTCTTCAGCTCTGGTTTACCCAAGTCACTTTCTCAAACATTATTTGGTTCCTTATACAGTATTTTTCAAGCAAAAATGTCATGCAACCTGCTTTTTTACTATTTACAACTTCCTGGAAAGTAAACCTCTATAACGAGGAAAATTTATCTTACTGCCGTATCAGTCACGAAATCAAGAACATTATAATTATTTTAAAGCACAAAGCTGCATGAATTTTTGCGGATAAATTCTTGGCCACCATCAGCTGACTGTGGAACTGTTTCTTTTCAATACGTTTTCCTTCTTTTGATGAAAAAAATTGACATCCGTAGTGAAATTAGCTAGCAGAGGAAGATAAATATGAAAATAAAACATGATCGATCATCACCTCGATCCTGTCCAAGAACCAAGCACTGCCGAACCCGAAGGCGTCCCTGGAGACCATGAGGAACTTGACGGATCCGAACCCCACCGGCGTCCGCACATGGAACTCGGACGCCTGATTCTACAGTACCTGAATAGGGCCGATAGGCGGCAAGATCCTGATGGCATACTGAAACTGCTGCCGGATTCTGCGCAATTCCTCAGTGCGTTCTGCGAAGTGATGGTCTTTTTGCGGCAAACAACAATCGTATTCCTGAACAATGTACGTTTTGTTGGCCTTGATCCATCGGATAAACGGAAACACCTTCGTCGTCGTCAGGTCCTTGGATCCCGGAGGCAACGACTCCACGACCTTGGAATTTTAAGGAATATTGAACGACGCATTCTTAAGTTCTCGTCACCAATCATTATAGTATTTTGAGAAATCCAGAGCTCATTTGTAAAGAGGGTAGACCGCGTTTTCACGTGGACTTTAATTTCGCCCCAAAATACTTTTAATTTACGCATCTGGAAATTATATGTTCAAGTGACACACATAATCGGATTTATTTCTAATTTCTTTGACCATCGTGACGAAGTACTTCTAGAGTAAATTGAGTAAGGGGAGTCTCAAGGTAGTGAGTACTGTACAGTTATTTCAGTGAAACAATGCAACAATCATAATTCATTCAAGCATCATCTTTACGGTATAATTTCTTCATTGTATGAACCAAATTCACTTAAAAAAACATTTTCTTGTTTCTGTAGGTGTGATCGATCTAAAAAAATAGATAGACCAGAAAAGTTTACCTTTAATATGGATGAATAATAAATTAATAATACCCCTACATATGGTAACACAAAATTGTTGACCGGAGGGAAATAATTTTATAGGTCAGATTGTTGTAGATGAGAGTCTTACCCGCACAGCGAAAAAAATTTTCTGGATGAAAGATTGTTTGTATAGTACCAAACTACCAGGGTAAAAAATTGCATCACAACGTTTGTTCTACAGAATGTTTTTAATGCAAGGTGCTTATACTACAGAAGGTACGCACTACAATAGGGTTGGGCAAAAACAACATTGGCATGATGAAAAATACACAGAACATTTTTCTGCTTCAATGAAGCAAGCATTCAAAACCATCTTCAATTTCTCAACAAAAAAATTGAAATGCAGTACAGTAATATACTGTCACGATGAATTTCATTTTCATGTTTTTTCTTGATCCCACTAGTTTCTTGATAGGAAAAAAGATTATACAGACTGTGTCAACTCTCCACAAAAAAATTCAAGAGACCAGAAAATATTTCTGATACACAGAAAATCCCATTATATACAGTATTTGACAAGATTGTAGTTGGAAGAGTCCACATGAAAATTTCTCCTAATTTTCACCAATAATCTCTTTACAGCGTAATGGCTTTTTTGCCTTGATCATATGTGCATATACTGTATGGGCCATAAGAATTTCCACTATAATTGGCAAAAAAGGGAAAATATAAAGATTGTGCATTATTTAAAGCCGTAAAAAATAGATATGCTACTCTTCCTGTTCAAAAGGTGTCGGGAAAAATTGCAGGATAACTCTTCCACCTTTGTTATTCTCATAGTATAAGCTAATGCAGTTTACAGGAATAAGTCTTTGTACATAACAGCCCTATAAAAATCTAGGCTTCAAAAATTAATCCCAGTCCCATAAATAGATGCTCTTTCTTATTTGACGCTTAATTATGGGAGAAAACGATTAAAATTAGAGGAATTTGCCACCGAAAAATATCTCTAGATAATCGCGGGCATTCCAATACCATCTGTTCACCGTAGGAGGAAAAATCGAACCTAATGATCTCAACATACAGTACAGTATTTATTGATCGCGCAGCTTGGAAGCGACATCTAGGAATACAATTTTGCGATCCAGCCCCACTGACGGGAATCATATCGCGAGCGTCGCAGCGAATCTTTCTCGCTCTTTCCCCCCCTTTTTTGTTGTAATCTTCCTGTCCAGTCAGTCAGTTTGTAAGACCCAGAATTATTCAACGGCATCTTTTTCCGGAATCGCATGCAGCAGCGATTTGCATCAGAGGTGACACAGCAGAGAGATTCACGATACAAAAGCTGGGGGAAAAAGGGGGACAAACCATTGTTTATTATTCGGAATGCCGGCGAAGTGCGGAGTTCCCAAGTTGGCGCTGGCAGACTGTGAATGACCCCTTTAACGCAGTACTGGGGAATTGCAGCCCATTGTCTGGGTTTCCCTGGCGAGACGCTCATTCCGGCATATTTTTACGGCCTTTTGGGACTTTATCGTCTCCGACACGGCGAAAGACAGACACACACACACTTTGATTTGGGGCAAGTACGTAACGTAAGTTCATATTTTTAGTGTTTTTTTGGCGAGAACATAAAGTATCTGCATGTTCCCCGAGGACAAGACAGCAAGGGCAATATAGTCTTTCAACAATGGACTCCGTAACGACTTTGTTCAAAGACGTTTATCTGAACAAGGACTGCATAATTTATCTACAACGTATGCCGTACGTAGTCTTCAATTCGTGAGAATGGATCATTGATTTATCGCCGAATAAAGCAACCCCAACATGGGCTAAATCATTATGAGTCAATAGCGCGCAGAACATTATTGAAACGGTGGATGCAGAAATCACTGAGAAGAATTTTGTGCAACATATTACATACCATAATAGAAGTTCTGCGGATGATTTCGAAATCTTTAAAAATATGGAACGAAGTAAATAACTCGTTGAAAATTGAAAAGACACCAGAAATGGGAACATTCTTCCGCCAGAACTACATCACGAAGAGGGAATCCCTATTTATAATCCATCAAACCAGCCTTCGCTCTATTCGAAAAGATAATATGATTCTAGATTCCTGTTCTCGCCAATTTGTATCCTCGGGTATATGAATAATAAGCAAAAAATCTTCATTAAAATGCACGTCTCCGGAAATTAATTCTCCAGAGGTTCATTGCTAAACCAAGCATGAATAGCATTGGGTTCTCAAAATCGAAAAAAACCATCATTGGTTTAATTTTCAAGTACTAATTATAGTAAATTTTCCAAAAAATGCCATTCATCATTCCGACGAGATGAACATGACGAACGATTGAAATAACGAACCAGCAAGTATTTCAGGAAGAATTCATAGCAGGAAAACGTGCATTTCTTCAATTTGTGTGGCTTCTTGAATGAATAGTCTATATAACACAAGGATTTTTCCTTCGTTTCAGGATTGTACCACTTTCAAGACATGCTCGGAGTGCTTGTGTATTACAGTACAGTACTTCCAAGATAAGAGTATTATAACAACGTTTTCAATTCCAGTCCTTGAGGCACTACAGATTGTACATTATCCAGAAAATACAATTGAATCTCAGACATCAACTGACTGGCATTTCAGAGGTGTTTTTCTTCAGCTCTGGTTTACCCAAGTCACTTTCTCAAACATTATTTGGTTCCTTATATTTTTCAAGCAATAATTTCATACAACCTGCTTTTTTACTATTTACAACTTCCTGGAAAGCAAACCTCCAACGAGGGAAATTTATCTTACTACCGTATCAGTCACGAAATCAAGAACATTATAATTATTTTAAAGCACAAAGCTGCATGAATTTTTGCGGATAAATTCTTGGCCATCATCCGCTGACTGTGGAACTGTTTCTTTTCAATAGGTTTTCCTTCTTTTGATACAAAAAAAAATTGACATCCATAGTGAAATTTCTAGCAGAGGAAGATAAATATTAAAAAAACATGATCATCACCTCGATCCTGTCCAAGAACCAAGCACTGCCGAACCCGAAGGCGTCCCTGGAGACCATGAGGAACTTGACGGATCCGAACCCCACCGGCGTCCGCACATGGAACTCGGACGCCTGATTCCGCTCCAGCTCGTTGCGGAACGCATGGCTCAGCAACTTGGCCCTCGAACAGCGTCCGTCGGCGTCCATGAGCGTGACGCGCACGTTGGCGTCCGTGCCGGCGTAGCGGCGGTCGCCCGTCCGCACCCGCACCAACACCCTCGCACCGGCGCCGTCTCGGGACAGGTCGTCCACGCTCTGCGAATTCTCCCTGTTCATCGAGGTAGTTGTCTTCATGAGGCTAGTGCTCCTCATCATCCCTGCTGGCTCTCCTGATGCGGCTTCGCCGATTTCTGCATGTGCCATTCCTCCTTCTTCTTTCTTTTTCAGACGCGCTCGAAAGTGGCGGTTTGCTTCAATACGTTTCTATTATCCTTCGCGTGCTCAAAACGGCGCCTCTGCCAAATAAAAGCACCAATAATACAAACATTTCAAAAAATGGCACCGTTGTCCATCCCTATATACAGGTATTCGATTCCATTCTCTCTGTTATACACTTCTGATGCATTTCGAGAAGAAATATACGATACGGTTAGTATCCACACAAATTCGGATCCCTCAGATTCTGTCAAGTCGCATAAAATAATTCTGGCGTATGAGGTGCTGCATCAAGCAAACAAATTTTCGGGGTTTTCCAGAAGTCCTCGAGAACCTTCTCGTACGTCGCTCGTTCCCAAAAACAGAATACAGTATAAACGAAATAAAATGAAATATTTTCTGCATCTGAATCTTTGGATGATAAAGAGAGAGTGCAATCCTGAAAGAATCGTGCAGACAAGAATACGTGATATGAGAAAAATCCATCAAAAACGCTCGGAACTCCACATAGATCTTTTCATAACATCGCATAAAACATAGCCACTAATTAAAGCAAATAAATAACTGGTGGTTTGTCGTAAAATTATTCTTACTCCACCCGAAGGAACAGAAAAGCACAATACATTACGAATTCATTTTGAAATTGTACAGTACTTCTTTTATGTCCTCCCTTGGATTAACATAAGAGGTGCTCTGTATGATGCATCTCAAATATCTTCGGATGGTATCTGAAATTCTTCCGTTCGTGAGGCGTTTCCATTTCCTTGTTGAAAAATAAGTTTGAAATTAACCACAAAGTTTAAATTTCGATTTGCATTTAAAAGTTTTCGCTGACTCGCAGGACTTCTGAGATATTGATGAGATAGTGATTCACGGCCGTGCAGTTCCGCACATCCTAAAACAGCGCGCGGGACCTCAGCAACAAAAGTAAAATAAATAAATAACAAAAAATAATCAGCGTCAAAAGAAAGAAAAAGTACTTCACAGTATTTTGTGAAACAACAGGGAGTTCCAGGAATGGTTAAAGCAGTTGTTCGCCAGTCTTGTTTTCGACCCCATACAAGGTTGCTGGCGTTGGCAGTTTTCGCAACTGCTTCAAAGCGTGGGAAGACCACACAATACTGTACATCCATGAAAATCAATTAACCAAAACCGGCAAAATTTATTTTTGCTCGAGGAAAAAATAGTCGTACGTAACGCAGTCGTGATTGTAATCAAAACATTTTGTTTGCACATCATTCAACGAATCATCCTCGATTCATCTCGAAATAATGCTGGTCGAATACGAAATGGTTTACCAGAGAAACGTTCTCAATTTAGAATGAAAATACAGTACCATATACGGTAGTATAAATTGCTTCATGAGTAAAATATGGATACAACAAAGCACCCCAACCTTTCACGATAAAATGTTGAAGACATAATTATCCCCGAGTAAGACACATACACCCTATTTTTAGCGACTGAAAAACTAGAACATTTCAAAAATAAGATACAACAGAATTCAGATTTAAGCGTCAATTCAATCTGAATTTGATAGATTTTCTATATACTGTATATTTTTAGTAAAATATTTGTGTGTGCCAAAAATGTCCCATTCTATTCAAGTGTGACGCGCACTCCCCTTTTTTCCTCGCCATTTTCAGAAAAAGATGCTAGTGCTGGTACTCGAGGAAATATGGCAGCATTGCCGCTTTCGGACAAGAACCTAAAAAACACGAATTCGTTGAAATTGATACTCATTATATCGAGATTCGTTTCAAAGAGATTTTACCACTGTATTTTAGGTTCTTTCAAGATTTCGTGTTCATCAGTTTAATCTCATTTCTTTGGTCTCAATAGAAAATCTTGAAACCGGAATTTTACTTTCCCCGGAGTCGTCCTGATTGACCGACGATCATAAGATGATATAACTCAACTCGTCAGTTCATCGGGGAAAATTGCAGCAAACTCTTCTTATTTTTAAATAATTTATGCAAGTACATTTAATTACTTGCATGAACCCGGAGGCAGCATTTCCAACGACTAAAATAACGAGAATAATACGCGGTTGCTCGTTAACAGCAGCTAGTACTTCTGTGAACTGGGGTAACAACACCACTGATAAAAACCCTGCTGGGAATTCCTCAGGATTATAATCTTTCTGAGGAAATCTTATTCCATACAAAAACTTCGCCCACAACTCCGCTGCGGAAAATCCGACGCCTACTTTCCTCCCAACCTTGTAATTACTGTAGAGCAGTAGTGTAACGTGCCAATCCGGGCGATGACAACGTTCTCCGAGCGACATCTAACCATTCAGAGAAAACTACAAAATGAAAGGTTGGGGCAATAGCAGTGATTCATCAAGTGCCGCATTTTATTCCCCAGGAACCGATGAAGGATTTACAGGAGTTTTCTGGAGGATTTATCGTTCGTCAAAAAACTCGAAAAATGTGTTTCCGGTTTCGAAGAAGAATAAAATAATACCTTTCGACTATTTTTTTGAAGAGTGATTCGTCAAGTTGAGAATGCTGAACAAGTTTTTTCGAGCATGAGTCATGAAAAATCCCGAAGCATCAAGCATAGAATTTCCGACGCCCAGGATCTACATGCTACATGCGAGTTTATGCTGTTTTCGACAGAAATTGACAGCGAGTCTTCAATTTGACAAAGATTTTTCTCTAGCTTGATAAGGGTTTCAAGACTCAGATTCTCACCGTATTCCCAACTAACCAAATTCCTATTTAACGAACTGTGTTTGGTAAGCATATAAATTTAAGCCCACGTGAAAATCAAATTCAATGGTGATATTTTTGTCTCATATAAATAATAGTAATACTGTATTAAAACAGAGGTCAGAAAAAAATTCGAAGCGAGGAGAAAAGTTTACAATTTCAAAAAATGTCACTAAAGAATTTGTACTCGACAATGACAAACAACTAATTTTTTGCTCAAATTTATGCAAAACAGGCACGCTTGGTAATTGAGTAAATATGGTGTTTGGTATGTGAACCTGCCCTAGTTGAAATGTGCACATGCCAGATCACATTTTCTCATAGAATTTGATGGGACATATTCAATTGGTTCTCTTGCTTGAAATTGGAAAAGTCTTCCAACAAATTTTATGATTTTTTCATCAACTTCAAGATACAGTAAAAATATCTGCAGAAGAAAACCCCGCAGAATACCTAATGAAAAGGAGCCCAAAAGACAAAGAACAAGCACAAGTCTTGTTTTACTGTGCACAGATGATGGAAAAATTCCTCGAAAGAGAAGCACGAAATTAGCCTGTTTCGGATTACAAATTTATGTAAATCTATGATAATATGTATTTTAAAGTTTTGTTAAAGTTAATAAATACAGTAGCTAAATTCGCGAAAAATATATCAAATTTTTGAAAAATAAACTATTCTTCATTCTATTTAGAAATTTTGTCAGTGCCACTTATCTTGAGACATCGTCCAGATGATAGGAACATTTTCAAAGTTTCAGGTGTCCCCTCGTGTCAAAATTTCCATTTATTGGGGCGTCCGTATGTCGGATATTCACTGCATATAATCCATGCAGTCTTATATTAGCGTCAGTGGAGTACGATTTTTTCTTCAACCCCATTTGCAAGATAAAATTGGACTGAAAGCCTTCGAGAAAGTGTTTCCGAGAAACCGGTCTGATCCACTTCCTCGGTATTTTTTGCGAGCGACCAGCATTCCTGGTACAGTATTTATAAGCTGAAAACTCCAGGAGGACACGCAAGGGGCAAACTTTTTATCGGCTCTGGACCACAGAGAAGAATGGAGAAAGAAAAATAAGAAAAATAAAAGATACATCGCGCGTCGGCATAAATTTTCCGCTCTGCACATCCGGAGTGGTTGACCCAGATTTTCCCTCCACACCAAAAAAACCGCGCGTCCCCGATTCGGAAAAAATAGTGAGAGATAAGTAATCGCTCCGGGGCGGGCGAAACAAGTTCGGCAATATACACACTGGTGGAGTGAGGACCAGTTTTTCCTCGCTAATGTGGCGTCCTGCTGCTGCTGGGTGACCATCAGCGGCAAATAGGCTAGTGACGATGGGTGCCACGTAGGCATCCCAGCGCCAACCATCAAGGGAGAAAGCTGCCGATGAGAGCCACACATCTTCCCCCCTCGAATAGTTTTAATTGGGACCACTATTAGATGGAAGGAGCCAAGGAGGGGAAGCCAGGGAGGAATGATCTGTGATGCAGGGTGATGATTTGGCCCATTTTTCCCCATGGTCCCTGATATTCTTCCAGTTGAACCTTGACAACTCAAACCTCCGCAGATGTCAAATATTTCCAAGTCCCTGTCTGAATTTCCCCAGAAACAATAACTAAAAACCCTCCCTAAATCAAAGGCTTTCTCTCACCTCAAACCTTGGAAATTCGACTTTTCTGGAGTTTTTTTGTTCTCATTTCATTGACACATGAAAAAGAAAAGCAATAAAGATATAACTTCATGCTTTATGAAAGGAAGTGAAAAACTATTAGGGCAAATAAACTCTTGCCTTCAAGTTCAGCATCCCATCAACTCATTCAAGAAATACTTCCAGGCTCAGAATATCACCAATTACAATTTCATGCAATTCGTCCTTTCCCCAAAAAAATGCGCATCTCCCCAATTCAACAATTTTTATGGTCCCTTGAAGATTGACCTAAAGAGCCGAGGTTTGACTGAATTGCGGGGTAAGCAAGTTGACAGGAAAAAGGCACCCAATCAAAGATCTCCCCGACTGAAAAAGAGCCTTTATTGACGAAGTCCCATTTTTGTAATCCTGTTCACCTCGGCTGAGTTTTGAATTCAAAATGTTGTCCAGAAAAATATACACGTTTAATGATTTATTATGACTTTTTGGAGTCTAAAACGGATAAAATAATTTACACTGAATATCACATTACTGTAGTGTGATATTCTCCAAATGTGATAATCTCCAGAAAAAAAAATTTACATGTACTGTACATCATTACTGTACAGTAGCTTTAAAAATGA